TTCTGATTGCAGTTTGGAGCTCTCAACCTTCTCTGACCCTGTTACACACTTTTCATAGCTCCTTGCTTTTCCTTGTAACATTCATGACACACGTCTTCACTCAGTTAATATCAGTTTTCTCAGGCACAGGGGCTGGCACATAGTAGGTGCTCACTCAGTTCATATTTGCTGAACAAACTAGTATTTTCTCCCCTAGAATCATAATGCATAAGCAGCCTCTGTACATGTTGTTAGTTGCTGACTCATGGTGACCTTTTGTATAACAGAGTGATCCTGCTCCATCTTCATGATCATTGGTATATTTGAGTCCATTGTTGTGGCTATTGTGTCAATGCATCTTATTGAAAGTTTCCCTCGTTTTTTCTGACCCTCTGCTCTACCAAGCATGATATGCTTTTCTAGCAATTGGTCTTTCCTGATGACATGTCCAAAGTAAGCAAGCCGAAGTGTCACCATCCTCACTTTTAAGGAACATTTTAGTTGTACTTCTTCTAAGACTGATTCATTCATTCCTTTGTACATACCTCAGCTAATTTGAAGGAGGCAGGATTATTAACCCACATTTTGTGGATGGGAAAACAGAAACTCTCAGAAGGGGCATATGATATGTCTACCAACCCGGCCTGAGCCACCAACAATCTCATATAAGAGCCTCCGAATGTTCTCTTTCACTCTTTCGCTCAACGTTTACCCCTTCCCAATCAATTCTCCACACAGCAGTAAGGGAAACATTTTTAAAATGTAAGTCACCTTTCCACTTAAATCGTTTCAATGACTTTTTGGCTGCTCTCAGAATAAAACTCAAACTCTCACCATGGGCTACAAGGTCCTGGATGATCTGGCTCCTATACACATCTCCAACACCGGTTCATATCACCCACCCTCTCGTTTAGTACACTCTGGCTGCACTGGTCTCCTTTCTGTACCTTGAATATACTAAGCCCTTTCCCACCTCAGGGTCTTTGTGCTAGCTGTCTCTTCTGCCCAGAATGCTCTCCCCCTAAGCTCTTGGAATGCTTAGCTAATTCTCCTTCATGATTCAAGTCAGACGTCACTTTCTCAGAACATTCTTTCCTAAGCACCTAAAGTAGCCTCCATACCAGTTGCATCTCTCTTATCACCCTGCTTATTTCTTTCATGGTGTTTATACAATCTGAAATTATCTTATTTACCTGTTTATTTGTTTGTTGGTCCTCACCGAGAATAAGAGCTCTATTTTGTTCACTACTCTATCCCCAGGGCCTAGCAGGTACCTGACACATAGTAGGTTCATTGTAAATATTTGTTCAATGAATGAGTCAGTCAAGGCCAGTACACCAGAATTCCTTCTTCGCAATGTTGAGGTGTTGCCTTTCTTCCAGCAGATGGAGCCAGAGCCACACTTGGTCCTTGGGGGTGGGGGGTGGGGAGGGGAGGGCATTGGTTTCACCGACCGGAGCAGGACCGAGTGGACAGGGAGAGGCAGGGTTTGTTGTAGAAAGTAATGCTGAATGCCAAGTGTGGAGGAAGTCAAGATGGCACTTCTCCCAAAGGATGGGCAGGTATGAGCTGTCCGGAAGGGATCTGGAGTGGCCAAAGACCCAAGGGGTTTCTGGGATCCCAGAGAGCTTTTGTATTTTCCCTACCTGTCCCACCTCCAAGCCATCCCCCCAGAATTCAGCAGGGGTCTTTGAGAAGAGAGATTTTGGGGAGAACATGAAACTGGAGAGGGGCCAAGATCTCTGATTTCAAATAATTGTACAGTTGGGAGAAACTGAGACCCGGAGAGAAGCATCATAGTAAGTCAGTGGGAGCTGTGTCTGGGGCCAGCATGGTCCTGGGCTCAGAGTGGGGAGACTGGTGAAGAGGACATGGACTCTCAGCATTGCATCCAGGGGTGGGGCGCAGTCACTTCTTCAGTAAGACAGGCTGGAGCCAGGACACGTTGGATGAGTGTCCAGGTGGACCGGGCAGAGGGAGCAGAAACCAGAGGTGTATTCCCGGGCCAGGCAGGTAGCCTGTGAGAAGGGCTGCGTCTAGATCTGGGGCCATGGAGGTCAGCAGAGGTCTCAGACTTCTACTGAAGGCAATGAGGACTCACAGAAGGGCTTCTAAAGAGGAGAGCTACTTGGTTATCTTGGATAGTTTGTGGAAGGAATGTGAGGAGATCAAATCAGAGACAAATAGACCAGTGAGGATACTGGTATAATCATCCAGGTGATAGAAGATAAACCCTGAGAAGTGATTATAGGGTTGGGAAGGAAGCGGTTTAGGAAGTTACCAAAAAAAGAAAAAGAAACAGAACTTGGTGGTTATTGATTGGAGTAGAGGAAGAACAGGGAGCCCCGATGGTGCAATAGTTAACCACTTGGCTCCTAACTGAAAGGTTGGCAGCTGAACCCACCCAGTGGCTCCCTCTGTAGGAGAAAAGACCTGACGATCTGCTTCAGTAAAGATTAACTGAAAACCGAACCAAACTCGCTGCCATCGAGTCGATTCTGACTCACTGTTACCCTATACGACAAAGTAGAACTGCCCCATAGGGTTTCTAAGGCTATAATCTTTACGGAAGCAGACTGCCATTTCTTTTTCCCACGGAGTGGCTGGTGGGTTCAAACTACCAACCTTTTGGTTAGCAGCTGACCCCTTAACCACTGCACCATCTGGGCTCCTTTCAGTAAAGATTCCAAAAACCAAACCAAACCAAACTCACTGCTGTGGAGCGGATTCCAACTCATAGCGACCCTGTAGGACAGAGTAGAACTGCCCCACAGGGTTTCCAAGGCTGTAAATCTTTACAGAAGCAGACTGCTACATCTTTCTTCTGCGGAGCCGCTGGTAGGTTGAAACCGCCGACATCTGGTTAGCAGCCAAGTGCATTAACCACTGCACCACCTGGGCTCCTTCAGTAAAGATTACAGCCTAGAAAATCTTATGTGGCAGTTCATTTGTCACATGGGGTCACTATGAGTCAAAACTGACTCTATGGCACCTAACAACAACGAGGGAGAAGGGGCGGTATGAGAGGTGTGAGTGGACCTCTGCAAATATTACCTGAGTACCTAAGTGCTCTAAAAGGAGCCCTGGTGGTGCAGTGGTTAAAGTGCTTGCCTGCGAACCCAAAGTTGGGCGGTTTGAACCCACCACCCGCTCTGTGGGAGAAAGATGTGGCAGTCTGCATCCATAAAGATTTATAGCCTTGGAACCCCTATGGGGCAGTTCTACTCTGTCCTATAAGGTCGCTATGAGTTGGAATCCACTCCATGGCAACGGGTTTGGTGTTTTTTGGTTTTAAGAGCCCCAGCTACAGAGGCCAGATCAGCTGTTGCCCAAGCAGCCTCTGACCTCCTAGGACGGAGGCCCCAAAGGTGGTGGGACCTGGCTTGGTGGTGGCAAAACTGTATTGCTTCACTTAACAGCCTAACAGTGGTTAAGTGCACAGGCCCTATAGCCAGACTACCTAGATTCAAATGCCACCTCCTCCATTCACCGTGTGGCCTTAGGTAAGTCACTAAACTTCTCTGTGCCTCAGTTTTCTCATGTGTAAGACTAGTACCTACCTCATAGGGAGGTTATGAGGACTAATTGTATTAATATTTATTAAACATGTATAACAGTGCCGGCAAGTAACACTTCATAAAATTTATAAAATTAAAAAGTGGCTTGGCAGAGCTTCAGCAGCAAAATAAGCCCTGTTCCCAGTCCCGCCCCACCCCAT